TCCGCCCCCTCATCTCCGGGGAGGACAACGACCCGTCGTGATAATCGCTTAGCACTGCCAGCTGCCGGGTTAAACTAACTGCGCTGTCAAACTCGTTTTTTTATTTCATGTGTGGAGATTATTTCTAATTTAAATACTTGCTTATGGTTCTTTTTGGTGCATGTGATCATTCAATAAATACACGTCGAAAGTGTCTGTACAAAATGCGCACTGAAAATAATGTACACAGAAGCGTAAAAAGATGCACAGAAGGGAATATGTATACTTGAATATGCACATATTCTTTCTTAACGTTCACATTACACCACAAAAACAAACACACTAAAGATGCAGCAGAGATGCAGTGTGTCAAGAAAGGACCTCACGCTATGAATTGGCTGCAGCCGCAGCTAGCAGCACCAGCAGCAGCAGCCGTGGATGCGTGTCGCGCCCCCTTCGCTCGCGGCTTTGTGTTGCTGCTTGTGCCCCCGCCATAATATCCATCCGCCCCTCCCTCTCACCACGCCAGCCGTCTGACAAATCAGTTAACTTCGTGCGTGATTACTTCCAGCACGGTTCCGATTAATAGAGCCGTCTAGCCGCGGAGCCGCAGCCGCAACTATACACGAATTAATAGTCTCCGGCTGTCTCCTGTTTAGGGTCGCCCCACCCCGACACCGCGCCGTGGGCTTCGGGGAACCCCGCCTTTGCCTGGCAGCCTGTTGGTTTTCGCTGTTGTTTTGGCGGAGGGGCTCGGGAGGGGACGGGGGGTGGTACATAAAGGGTAAAGGGAGGAAGGGAGGGCTCATTACCGTCCCGTGTTCTGTGCCGAGCGGTGTTCTGCTGTTCTGTTCCGCGAAAGTCGGAACCCGCAGGCGAGCCAGCAGGTTGTCGGCCGCCGCGAGAGGAACGACTATGCAGCACGGGTGGGTGATCAGCGCCGTCTTTTTATTTCTGTCTATATGCTCTACCGGACTTATGCGTGGGGACGGCTTGCACATACTCGCAACACTGTGATAAATAGTAGGGAGGCTTACTGGAAAATTTTTCTTGACGCAAAGTTGTTAAACAAAAACATGCAGTACCTATCGACTTGCTGGCGAGTAAAAAATGTGCTCTCGTAAATTTACAATAACTTAAATAATAATTATTCGAGTTTACAATAGCTTTGTAAATTTACGACGATATTTTTCACATTGACTTAAGGCGCCATGGCGAGCCCTCCCGCACGCCTGAATCCGGTGCAGTATAAGCATTAAAAAAAGACGGCGCGGATCACCCGTCCTGTATCTGTAGCCCCTAGCTACCTGGCTCGAGAAAATCATACGCGGATACCAGGTGTGGTTTTTATATTGGGCCAGGAAAGCGCAGGGTAAAAACGACGTCTTGGTTTCCGAGCAGCCAAGCAAAGCATCTCTGAAGAAATACACGGGACTTTCTTGGATTTTTCATTACTGCTTGAAAACAAATGCGTCGTTTTCACCCTGAGGGTAGAGGGGTCGGAGGCCCCAAGCCGCCTGGAATAAGGTAGGAAATTCTCGATACAAACACAACCTTTGTATATTCACAACCACCTAAAATCACGACTGGGGCAGCAATCGACAAAAAGTACGAGCGGGAGCCCTTTCCCTGCGTCTGTCCCACCAACCGTTCCTCAAGCTCCCTGCTCTTTAATTTCTCTGCCCCTTTCACTTCACTCGCCTTTATTGCAGCTGTCGCGCACGGCATGCCGGTAAATAATTTGCGCGGAGCAGGTAGCCGGTCGGTACTCTGCTGTTTTTTATTTGTTCAGAAAGAGAAAGCCAATTATAGTTTATAAAAAATGTATGAGGGGGCACGCTTAGCACAGTTTCACTCCCGACATTTTTGTTTTAATTTCACCCACTTTGAGCTTTTTGGTGCCTGGTCGAGTTTCGGCGTCGCGTTTTCTTTTTTTTCCACTAATGGCAAAACGAAAAGTTAATTTTTCCGTTCGTTATACTTCCAGACGGCGCGCTCAGCCAGTCTCGTCTCGGGGATTTAAAAGAGAAGAAGGAGTGGGGCGAGGAGGGGGTCCCTCAGCTTTCAGGGAAACACGGGAGAGACGTCACGGCTCCCCCGACAGGTTGTGGAGGACTTCATCCCCCCAAAACAGATTCAGGGCAGACAGATCGACCAGGAACATAACGAAACGGCATCATTCGCTTGGACCAGGTCCTCTTGCTGTAGAGAGCATTCACAGCTTAAAACAAATGCGCTGTTTGTTCTGTTCCCGACCGATCCTCCTGCTCTTCTTTGTCTTCCGACAGTTAGTGATTTTGCACGCGCCAGCGGCGGGAGGAAACTAATAATTGGCCTCCACGCGCACACGCGACAAGGGCGATGAGGGCCTTACAGAACCACACACACACACACACACACACACACAACCTTACAGGAATCCCTCCGGTATTTCGACACAGAACCCTGCTAGAAAACCAGCTTAGAACTTCACAAAGAATTGCCGCAACTCTTTGTTATTTCCCAATAATTCACAACACTTTTTCGTTATAAATACTTGATTAACCTCAGAAGTATAAACAATCGTTTACAACCATTTTAAATTATGATAGCAAAGTGCCCGATGTTTGACTATACGAAGAAGTGTTGAGATTTCACAGTTTATCTGTATTCGAGAAACTGTTGGGAAATCACGACTTTTTTTTTTCACTGTGCATGGGCCACCCACACAATCTCGTCAGCATGGGCCGCCACCAGCCGCCCCGATGAGGCC